CTCAAAAAAAAAAAAAAAAAAAAGAATCATGTAGGGAGTTCATAAAATCCTAACCTAACTAATTCTCCAGAATTTATCAGTATTTCTGAAAAGGGTCTCGGAAATTCTTAAAACTCTTTGATCCAATGTTTAGCCAAGTTGGAAACCCAGTAATTTGGCTATAGTTAAAATGTATCTTTAATAACACACAGCCTTAATATTAAGCAAATATATACATAAGAACAAATTATGTTAGGAAAATGGGGCTTTAATGTTACAATTTCCTAAAATTACAGAATATAATTAATATATTTAAAATACATTGCTACCTTTTGTTATGGTATTAAACTGGCAAGCTGATTCCAAATTTATACACAAAGAGCCAAAAATAGCTGAGATAATCTCAGATAGGAACAAATAAGTCAGATTTGCAATAAGACACAAAAGTTTTAAATCATTAGTATTAACATTAGTTATGGTGGTATTTTAATGAGTGAAATCTTTATTTGCTTTATTAATTAATTACCCCTATGACTGCCTATCAGATGATAACAAAATGACTTCAATTAGCTCCATAATTATTCTTGACTTCATTAAAACTCAAGAAAGTCAACACTGCCTTGTTAACTTTTACCACAGAGGAGCACCCCTTCCCCCAAGAGAGTGCTTGAACGCTGCAGGTAAATTTTAGTCTCGCTTGGCATGCAGCTGTTGTTATTCCCCAGAATTACAGTAATGCCAACCTTTTCTCTTCATATCTTGGGTCAGATGTTGCTACTTACTTTAGAACATCCTCATGATGATTTTACAGAAGGAAGTACCAGAGGAAATAAATATACTAAAAGATGAGGAAGAAAATGTTCTGATGTATATGTTTGTGCTCTATTATTTATTGCCTTGAAAAATATTGCCCTTTTCAGAATCAATTATACATTTTTTACAGAATTATTTTATTTAACTTTATTTATTTATCTATCTTATTTTGGCCAGAGAGAGGCAGAGTGTGAGAGAGAAAGAGAGGGAAAGTGAGGAAGCAACCCTCCAGGTCTGGGATTCAAACCATAGTCAGCCATGTGAAAGTCCAGTGACCTTAACCACTATGCCACCTGCCACCCCAATTATACATTTTTAAAGTTTCTAATTCTCTAACATTTTATAATGTTATTCAACGACTAGTTAAATTAGCTTTAGGAATATAGCAGTTTTATTTCATATATTTTATAAATTTATGCTTATATCAATATACTTTAATTATAATGTTTATAATTGTCTGTTTGCAGAGCCTCATTATTTGATCACCATGAACTAGCAGACTACTTAATTTCAGTGGTAACTATTTCATTAAAAACTTTATTTTTTAATTACTATTTATAGTTGAAAATCATATAATTGCATATATAGATTTTCAAAAATAAACCAAATTTTCATTTCTTATTTATCAGCCAAAAATATTTACAAAGTGTTGACTGACATATTGGCAAGTAGAATATATTGCTTATGAACTGTAATGGCCAAACTTCATTACTATGAAGGTAGAAGTGCCAAAGTGTACTTTTTAGTGCAAGGTATTTGTGGGTACATTGTGAGGGAAACTCTTTTTAAGAGAGATTTTTGCTATAGGGTGCATGAGACAGAGAGAGACAGAAAGACAGAAAGCAAGAAATCACTCCCAAAGGGGATGGCCACACCACAATCCCTTATCCTCCATTCTCCTCTTGGGATTTCGGACACCCATGCATACACATCCAGCATGAGTTTGAAGCTGCTGGGTCCAGGACTCAAACCATAGTTGACTACATGTCAGTCCAATGATATAACCGTTGTGCCATCTGCTGTTACCAACAGGGATAACTCTCCTGATAGCTTCTGAGTAGGTTTCAGGGGAGTGTCTGTCTTGGGAGACTCTGATAATGCTTTTTCAGCACTGGTGACTTTGAGGTGGAGGCAGGACAGAAGCATATGGGATAAGCTTCTACTCCAGTTGTCTTATCACCACCACGTTTCAAACAATGAAAAACTGACGAGTTGAAAAATATTAAGACCAGCCCCATAGCCCAGTGGTTAAGGGAGCCAGATACCACATGGCTGCCTTCAGTTCAATTACCAGATCCAAAGGTTTATAAAGCATACCAGTCACATGTTCATGTATGCCCCGAATCCCAATAAGATGGAAAGATGGAGAAGAAAGGATTGTGGCTTGACCATGCCCTATTAGAGGGCCCTTTCCTCCTCTCTCTCTCTCTCTGATAAGTGAACTTGCCATCTAGCAATTAATAAAAAAAAACTTTAAGATTAAAGAAAAATATTGAAGGTTTGTGGCAAATGAAATTATAAGAAATTTTTCACTCTGAGAAATGGAGTCAGTCAACTTTTGAGTTAAATTAAATAAGCTCTTTATATGAATGACTGCATAAGGGAGTTATTTAAGCCCTAATGTGCACAATTGATGCAGTTCCTATGTAGTATTTAACATGTGGGTGTTGTCAATAAAAAAATGTGATATTTATATGGAAGAATCTTGGATTCTTGAGGGTACTTCAAAGAATCAGTGGAAAATGAAAGTAAAGTAAGAATTTATTTTGGTGCTAAAAAATTTGAAATCTATGCAGTTTTTTCATAATTTGCATTTTCCATGAACTGTCTGAAAACTCCTCATGCACCATTGTTTACATCAGTCATGGTTTCCTACAAATGTAGCCAACCCTTCGCCTGGCAAGACAACTGTTGCAAGACCTCCTGGCCACCATCAAGCTCTCAAAGGGGATGCTGCTGAATTGTTATCTATATTCATTAGGTCCCAAAAGAATATGCAGATATCCACCACTGGTTTTAAGCTATTTTATTACCCTATCCAAAGTAAAGAATTCTTTCCATGAAATTTTTAAAGGTCTTTGGTTTCTTGTCACCTCAAATACTATAACCATAACACGTAATTATAAATATTGACTTATTTTTAAAATATGTACACTGTGAGGTAAAGAGGAAAAAAAATATATGCAAGAAATAAGAAGTGGAAAATTATTTGTTGATGATAACATGTATGATCAAGCCACTTTACAGTGTATTCTGGCTGGAAAATTGCATTTTGTATGCTGTGGTGATGTTCAGTGAAAGTATGTAAAATAAATTTTAAAAAATAATAAAAAAATATATATACACACACACACTGTGATTTTAAAATACAAATTTTCTCAAATAAATGTTTTGCTAAAACTTTAATTCAGGATTTGAGTAATTTCAATTAAATTATTTCATTCTTTTATTTCAGAATGAAAGTATTTTTTTTTTTTAGTTTTAAAGTTTCCTGTGAAAAGTTTTTTTAATATCATGTATTCAGTAAGTTTGAAAAGTAAATTTAATTATGGAAAATTAAAAATTATTTCTTAGAGTGAAGCTAAACTAATGCTCTAAGTCAAAGGCTTTATTTTCACAGGTTAAGTAGTTACATTGACAGATATCAGTCAAAAGCCTAGCATGTGTGAAATAAGTTCATTCTTTAAGTTACAAGATAAGGGATTAATTTCTGATTTTATAACTTATGGATTATAGGGAAATTTCAAGTAATTCAGTAATTAATCATATGTTTTAGTGCTAGTCATAATTTATACATGCTATCCCAATGAATTAACATTATTAAGAAATTACAATGTAAGCTGGTTTATATGTTCCTAAACTCTTTGTTGAATGACCTGTTTCATTTTAGGGAGCAGATATTAATAGCACCGATGCTGAAGGACGCTCTCCACTTATCTTAGCAACTACTTCTGCATCTTGGAATATTGTAAATTTGCTACTCTCTAAAGGTAACCAAGAGAGATCAAGCTAACCATGTATTAACATCTATTGCATGCCTGGCAATGGGCCCAGTGTTATGAATACAAGGATAAACAGAACATTTTACATGCCTAGAGTAATCTTCAGCCCAGTAAGAAAGCAATATTTTAAAAGATAATTTCAGAACAATAATACATAGCATTTGAAAGCAACCGTTATACTCCACACATTTTGCTGAACATTTCTTCAGCTTTCTCTTACTGAATCAGCCCTATGTGGTATAGGTCCCATAAATATCCCCATTTTAGATATGAATCGGGTACATGATTAAAAATAAAAATGAAAATGAACTATTCTTCTCTTCTCTCCTCTTCTTTGTTAATCTCCAATCTTTCTGTATTTATAAATTATGCTTCAAAAAGGTAGGGCCTCAATCATTTTTCTCTGCCTTCCCTTACACACACACACACACACACACACACACACACACACACACACACACGGAGTAAGATAAACCCATTTCTGAATATATTTAATGGCTCATCTAAATAAACTTTCTTGCAAGTTAAAGGCTGGCAAAATAAAGTTTTAAGTAAAGACTCTTTAATTAAGTAAAAAGTCCACCATAGGCCTTGCTTTAAATGAATGAATAGAATTTATATTCATATTGTGCTTTTTAGGTGCCCGTGTGGACATAAAAGATCACTTTGGACGCAATTTTCTACATTTGACCGTACAGCAACCTTATGGATTAAGGAATTTGCAACCTGAGTTTTTGCAGGTATTATCTATGGATTTCCATAAATTGAGTTGGGTTTGACTGAGAGTAAACTGATATTTTTATTATGCTTTTTATTATTTTGAAGGCTGATTCTATAATTTTAAAAATGTTTTAAAATAAATTTCCTATTTAGATACTTATTTATGACATTGTGGTGGTGGTATTGATGGTAATGATAATAACAAATTGCATTGGAACTGAGCTTTCGAAGTTACAGAGGTTTTCTATATACTTCATCTATAATAAGTATACAACTTTAATCAGTTTGATTTCCTTGACTCTTTGACTGCTATGACTTGAATATCAGTTGAAAACAAATTAAATAAATAATTTAGCAATATTCCACCATCTTTAAAAAATAATTCAACATATTTGACTCAATGACATAATAAAAGCACTGTCTTCAAATGTATATTCACCAACTAATATTTATTGAGTGGCTCTTAGATATACATGAAGTACATCATATTTTTATAGTGAAGAATCAAGAGTATGTATATGTTTGAAAACTTTCAACAAAATAGCAAAATGTTTATTAATTTATTGAACTAAGCCACTCACTTGCCATCCATTTTTTTCTTTAACATATGAGGAAACTTCAAAATAGTCATGGAAAAATAAAATTGAAGTCCAGATTTATTTTGGTGCAAAAAAAACCTTGGAAATCCATGCATATTTTTTCATAATATACATGTTCCATGAACTTTTTGAAGACCCACCTCTCCCATACATATAAAAGATAAGGTAAATCTAATTTTTAATATTCCATTCCTTCTGTATAATAGAACACATAACTTTAAGCTCTTAAATGTTATTTTTAAGAGAAAATAAGATCTGGCACAGGGAAGGGCTATGGTCAAATATGTTCAAGAAAAGGTTAAAAATGTTAAAAACAGGGGCAAAAAATGGTAAGGTGGCTAAGGGACTGGACTCTCACATGGAGGACCATGGTTTGAGTCCCAGAGCTGGTGACTTGAAAATCACACTGGGTGCATGTGTATGCATGCCCAAATCCCAAAAAGTAGAATGGAGGAGCAGGGATTGTGGCATGGCCATCCCCTCTGGGGGGTGATTTCTCACTTTCCATCTAACTGTCTCTGGCAACAAACCCTATGACAAAAACAAGCAAACAGAAAAATGCTAAGAGCATTTTCCTACTTGAAGAATCTCACAGTCTTTAATATGGTAATATGCATTAGAAAGAAAGTATGCAATTCATTCATATTTATTTTCCTGTATTTCTCTTTAGGTTATTTATATGTTTGTGCCCAAGAAATATATATTGACTTTTGTTAGAAAATACTATTCTACATATGAAAAATACCGTATCAGGTAATATCAAATTTATATGTGAAATATTAATTTTTCCTATAGATGAAACATATTAAAGAACTGGTCATGGATGAAGACAATGATGGGTGTACACCTCTACATTATGCATGTAGACAGGGGGTTCCTGTCTCTGTAAATAACCTGCTTGGCTTTAATGTGTCCATTAATTCCAAAAGCAAAGATAAGAAATCACCCCTGCATTTTGCAGCCAGGTAAGGATTAATCTATGCAACTTATGAACATGTCTTCTTTATGTTTAATATTCACTTTGAAAATATGAAACTTACTGTTTTCAAGTTATGGGCGTATCAATACCTGCCAGAGACTCCTAAAAGACATAAGTGACACAAGGCTTTTGAATGAAGGTGACCTCCATGGAATGACTCCTCTTCACTTGGCAGCAAAAAATGGACATGATAAAGTAGTTCAGCTTCTTCTGAAAAAAGGTGCATTATTTCTCAGGTGAGGGTTTATCACTGAAATGTTTATGTATACTTTTAAATCATCATTTTGGGGTATCCTTTTTTTACAGTTTTCATTATGACCTATATCTTTATAATCTCCTAAGTAATTTAGTCCATTTTATGTAATCTTCAAAACATATGTGAGTCTCAAATATTGAAAAGAAATTTGGTACTATTCTCAACAAATGAAGAAATGGTAGTTCTACGGAGTTGAAGACCCTGTTCAGCATCATCGAGTAAGCTGCTTTGTGCAGTGTGTTTCTTAGTTCGTGTTTTACTTCTTCACGCTGCCATCTTCTACAGATACTTCACTGTAATCACATTTGTGTATGTGACATGCATACACAAAGTCACAAAGCTCAAAGACCTTACTTTTCATTCAATCTGATGAACGAAAACCATTAGAAGTTCCCTTTGCAATAACAAGACATTAAAAATTTCTGAATGTTATTATACTTAAAAGAAAACTAACATAAGGAACAAAACCAAGTTAAAATATGTAATCATAATAAATACATGCCATAATTAGAACCACCAGGTAGTATGGTGGTTAAGATACTGGATTCCCACATGGCCAACTGCAGTTTGAGTACTGGACTCAGCAGCTTAAAAAAAAATCATGCCAGACACATGTGTGGGCTTCCCCAAAGTCAATCCTGAGAGGAGAAAGGAGGAAAATATATAGCAGTATGGCCATCTCCCCACCCACCCCGCAGGGGATGATTTCTCACTTTCCCTTTCTCCATCTCTCTGGAAAACACATGTGCCCTATGGTAAAAACCTAAAGAAAGAAATAAAGTGTGGTATAATGAAATGATATCTTTGTTAAATGAAGAAGAAAACCTGAAAACACATGAGAGGGGTGACTGAGCTATCTTCTGGTAGCAAAGAGCTCATCAGGCTCATTCGCAATGTAGCTGTGAAAGGAGTGCTTTGGTCCGTTCCTGTCTGCTCATAGAGAACGCCAAGCAGTAGACCTGCAAAGGGGACCCAAGGGGGCCCAGGTCAGACAGCTGTCGTTTAATGACATCATAACTGAAACAGTGAGGTAGCTTTTGCATCCTAAAGCAGCTGCTCACTAGCACTGAAACTGAATTGTGCCATATTTTCTCCCATGTCTAAGTTGCAAAAGTATTACTGATATGATAAGCCTTCATTGTATTTAATCTCAAATTTCTGTGAGAAAGGATAAATATTTTTCAAAAGGATTGCACAAGCATCTCTGAGAACACAAGAGGAAAGCTTTTCCAGACATAGATTCTTAGAACAAGTGGTAAGTATCAGTACTCTTGAGTTGCACCTTGTAACCATGCACTATAAGGTAGTATTATTAGCAGTAACTATTGACTATGCAGGCCAGTGCCACCATCATGGAAAATACTTTTGATGTAAATATTCAGTGAAAGAATAAAACAAGGCCCAACTGCAGTGGCACAAGACTTAGGGTGTTCCTGCAAAGCCCAGGGCCACATGGGGGTCTGGGTTTGGTTCCCAGATCAATCAAAAACAGGCTCTGCATGATGGTACACACCTGTGAGCCTAGCTTACTGGGAGGCTGGGACAGGAATACTGAGGCATTGTGAGACCCTGACCAAAAACTGCTTGTCTCTCTTTTTCTCTCCCTACCCCTCCTCATTCTCTCAAAAAAAAAAAAAAAAAAGTTTTTTTTTTCTTTCTTCAAAATTTGTCATAGAGCATATACACTCACTATGGGGGAAGGAAGAGAGAGAGAGAGAATGAGAAGAAAAGTGAGAAAGCATTCCTCAGGGGGAACAGCCACACCACAAACCCTTTTCTTTCATATTCCTCTCAGGATTTCGGGCACACATGCTCAATGTGTTCCTCAGGCCACTGGGTCCAGGACCCAAACTAAACAGTTGGCCATATAGGATCCAGCTACCCCAATCACCATGCCACAAGCTGGTCAAAGAAAAAGACATTTTAAAAAGATTTAAAATAATATGTATAAGTATACTACAGCTCTGAAAAAAAATATATGACACAGACATGCTAACTCCAATTTCACTATGCTTATAAGTTTGGTAACACATTTATATCCTTTTAAATTTAATCAACCTAAAAGAAAATATGTGTGAATCATATTACTGATAGACCATTTATGGCCACTGGTTTGAAATGAGCTTATTTATGGTAAATTTATAATAAATATTTAGTTGCTAGATCTTAATTATGCTTTTATAGCCCATCAGGTCCTCCTACGTAATAGTATCCCTTCTTGACATAATCTATAAAGTGTATTCACATGTCGTTTCTTATCTCTTTACAGTGACCACAATGGCTGGACCGCTTTGCATCATGCGTCCATGGGCGGGTACACTCAGACCATGAAGGTCATTCTTGATACTAATATGAAGTGCACCGATCGACTAGATGAAGAAGGGGTATGTACTATGTTCCTCAGACCTACCGAAGATCTCAACATAGCAGAAACTTTCAAGATTGCAGGAAAGCATCTTTTTAAACTACCTTTTTCTCTTCCTTGCCTTATTCTCAGACTTTTATTATAGTTATAGCAAGCAAACTCTTAGGTGAGGAATGAGTAAATGGGAACAGAAATAGAATATCAAGAAATAAATATTTGTTGAACACACCCCTTCAATCTCACAGAGCCGGTCTACAGGCCAGTGAAGTTCAATGATAAGGTTTTCACGACTTTCTGGTAACCTTAGGCGAAACAAAGAGGGCAGGCATGAGTCTTCATAAAACTAAGTGTAATCTTTATAAGTGTGTGGATTTAAAGGACAGTCCTTTATTGTGCTTTTACCTTCTTTCTTTTTTGGAGTATAAATACTGAATGTATGTTTAGTGATAAAATGATGTAAAAAAAGATATCATTACTTTTTAAAAAATGTCTTTATGTGGCAAAACTAAAAGTTGGAAACCACATAATAGTCTCAGATTTTAAAAAAGTTTTAGGTCATAACTAAAACTGTACAATCTAGAGATCACAACCCTACTAAACAGTAAGTCTCCTGGGAGTATTTTGTCTTTTGCATTCACCCCAATATCCTTATTATGCAAATTTGTCTTTTGTCCTTGTGGAATCACATCACTGTAAAGGCAACACAAAATGAACGCCTTGGAATTTACACACATGCACACACACACACACAACCCCCCCATACACAATCCTCCCACACACACCACACACACACGATTTCTTTTTTCCTTATTAACATTTTTTTAATTTCAAGTTCTTTTATACATACAATCACGTTATTTAGCTTTCAAAGTGAATATTCCAACATGTGTACATTTCTCCCAAGGCCAGTTGATAATACTATAAAGTTATCTTCAACAGATAACACTCCAATTTCTTTGTCCCATTAATGCTTTGCCTCTCTCTTTTTTCTTCTAAATGTCCTTCCTCAGATTTACTCCTTCACCCACCCTCTTCCAACACTATATCTGGTATTCACAACCATTTACTGTGTTTCTATATCCTTCAGTCATTCAGTTTCAGTCACAAAGTGCAGACACTCTGTATATATTAAGTGGGGACGTACAATATCTCTCCTTCATAGTCTGGCTTGCTTCACTCAGCAGTAATTCTTCCATATTCGTCCAGTTCCCTTCTCTCTTCTTCTTAATTACATTTTGCTAGTGGTGTATCTATTTTGTTTATCTTTTTAAAGAAAGAGAGTTTACTTTCATTTATTTTCTGTATAGTTCGTTTATTTCCTATTTAATTTATTTCTACTTGTATCTTTATTATTTCCTTTATCCTGGAGTTTTGTTTTGTTTTGTTTTCTGGGTTTTTTTGTTTGTTTGTTTTTTGCTGTAGCTTTTCTAGTTCTCTGAGGCACAATATTAGGTGATCCATTTGGCTTCTTTCCATCTTCTTCTTATGTGCACTAATTGCTATGAACTTCCCTCTTATGACTGCTTTTGCAATGTCCCAGAGATTATGAAAACTCATGTCCTCATTGTCATTGGTTTCCACAAATCTTTTGATTTCAGTCTTTATTTCTTCAGTAGTTGTGAAGTCATTCAGGAGTAGTTTATTTACTTTCCATGTATTTGAGTATTTCTAAGGATTTCTCTTGAAATTAAAATCAAGTTTAAGTCCATCATGGTTGGAGAAGATGCTGGGTATAGTTTCTATGCTTTTGAATCTGGCTTGCCTTGAGCCCTATCATATGGTCAATCTTTGAAAAGGTTCCATATGGGGGTGAGAAAAAAGTGTATCTCATGGTTTTTGGGTGGAAAGTTCTATAGATGTCTGTTAAATTCATTTGATTTATTGTATCATTTAGATCATTTGTCTCTTTACCTATTTTTTATCTAGATGATCCATCCAGAGGTGATATGGGGTGTTGAGGTCTCCAACAATTAGTGGGTTGCAGTCTATGTCTCCTTTTAGATCTAACAGTCTTTCTTTCACATATTTGGTTGCTCCTATGTTAGTTGCATAGATATTTATAAGCATTATATCTTCTTGATCAATTGACCCTTTTACTACAATATAGTGCCCTTGTTTGTCTCTTCAAACAGTTTTTGTTTTAAAGGCTATTTTGTCAGAAATTAGTATCGTGACTCCAGCTCTCTTTAGGGTTCCCATTTGCATGGGAAACCTTTTTCTAACCCTTCACTTTTAGTCTATGTATGTCTTTATCCATGAGGTGGGGTTCCTGTAAGCAGCAGATTAGAGGGTTTCTGTTTTTATCCATTCAGCCAGTCTGTGTCTCTTTATTGGAGAATTTAATCCATTAACATTCAATGTTATCACTGATATTACCAGATTTGTCCCAACGTATAAGTTGGCCATTGTCTTGGTTGCCATTTATGTTTCCTTTACTTCTGGCTGTTCATTCTTTAGTTTTCCTGGAACAGTACTCTCTTCAGGGTTTCTTTTTCTTTTTCTTTCTTTCTTTTTTTTTTTTGGAGAGGTTTTTGCTATAGGGCGTGTGCACTCGCCAGAAAGAAAGAGACAG